AGGACAATATCTAGAAGAAGCAAAAAAGATGCACCGCCATCCATTTTTACTGTGGGAAAGGCATTACACCATGACTGTAAAAATACTAATAATTGGAGAGGAAGACGTCCTGCTAACTATCTTTCCCGGGTACCACCTTGCAGCTCAAACCTTGAACCTCCTCCGGCTCTGCCCTAAGCACTGATTTGTGATAGGACAGTACGCATCACTCCTAAGCAGTTAGACAGTACACACTATGGCTTGCACACTTGACCTTTCATTTTTACTTATTGTTAGAAGTCTAGCTGCTTATTCAGTGATTAAAAATGTGATTTCCTATATTTTTCAAATGTGTAATTTTTTTGCCCAATACTATAAATTGATGTAATATTACTTTTCTGTTAATGTCTTATTACCCCTATGGGAAGTGCAATTTTACACTTGACCAAGGTGTAAACCATTCACAGTTACACTGTTTGGTGTGTAAATGAACCTTCTGGTTGCGTGTCAAATTACACTATTGGACAATGTGTAATAATACACAGAAAAAAACGGCTGCGGGGGCTGGCAAAGCTACTACACTATCATTCGGTGTAATATTACTGTTCTATTAGTATTTTATTACACTTATAAGAACTGCAATTTTACACTTGACCAAAGTGTAAACCACTCACATTACACTGATTGGTGTGTAAATATAACCTCTAGTTGTGTGTTAAATTACACTATTATAAAATGTGTAATAATACACAGAAAAAAAAGGCTGCCGGGGCTGGCAAAGCTACTACACTATCATTCGGTGTAATATTACTGTTCTATTAGTATTTTATTACACTTATAAGAACTGCAATTTTACACTTGACCAAAGTGTAAACCACTCACATTACACTGATTGGTGTGTAAACATAACCTCTAGTTGTGTGTTAAATTACACTATTATAAAATGTGTAATAATACACAGAAAAAAAAAGGTTGCCGGGGCTGGCAAAGATTTTACACTTTTTTTTGGAGTAATGTTACACTTTAATTTTAAGTGTGCACCCGCTAAAATTACATGTAATGGGCCTTTTAAGGATGGAAAGAAATGAAAACAGTTCAGAAAAAGTTGATTAAAATAGGATTACTTCACTATCTTTAGTGGTACATTGTACCCTTCCTACCCGCGAACACTATAAAACTGCCTTGATACCCACGCGTGTCACGCTTCTTTTGCAATACTTCCCTTTGGGACTTCTCACAAGAAAGGAAAAAAGAAATTATTAACCCGTTTTTAAATCCCCGACGCAGTACTTTTGGAAAATTCCAAGGAGAAAAATGCGATCCATGACGGGAGTGAAAAAGGAGAAAGAACTAGGCAAGGTTCCTGCAGTATGAACCTTTTTATTGAAGGTTATGGCTCAAGCACCATAACTGAAAGTCTTTGCTGGCTATTAAGAAAATTCAAGGGCTTTAAAAAACTACATGTTGAACCTGCAACTGAATACCCCTACACTACTTGCTGCATCCAAAGAGAGGCCCAACAGAGATGAGGCAATGGGTTCTTTCGTTAGCAGATAAAATCTTTCCAGCCTTGTCAACTAAAGAAGGACTACAATGCCCTGCAATGTTTTGATTCTTTGTAGTTTAGGCTAAGCTAGGTCACTATGCAATTAGTGACTTAGATGACCGTGTACTGTATGGTCCACTTAAACTGTGACCGGTTTTCTTTATTATTATTGCCTTATCAATTAAAATATGCAAGATGGAAACAATCCATTTGTGAATTCTAATTTAAAAATGAGGATTTCCCATTATAACCTAAAGATATACAGCAATGAACAATAAAATACCATTTCATTATTAAGATATAAAGTTTCAACTTGTACATTATTTCCCAGTTAACAATCACACCTGCTGGAAAAAAAAGGGTGACATGTTATTAGTCAAACACTAATCCGCCATTATTATTCAGAAGCTGTGAGCAAATAGTCGAGAAGAATTATGTATTTCCCACACACTGACACCATTGGACTTTAAAAGACCATGTAGTCTTATAGATTTTTTAGTTCCATCAATTATTGTTGACATTGTTTGCTGGGTAGCAATCATTTTAATGGCAACAAAGTTTTTCTAGCCCAGTCTTCCAGTGGTGAGTGAGAAAATTGCATCATATTTTATATACAATAGGGTTATTTGCAATACATGGTATATTTATTCATCTGGGCCCAGTCGTTCGAAGGCCGATTAGCGCTTAACCCGGAGTTAAATTTAACCCTGGTTTCTCTTTCTTGTGTTCAAAAGCATTTTCTCGGATAATTTTCTCTCTTATTTTTAGAGCTTCCAATCACCAACTTGTGGACAAAAAGAATTAAAACTGAATTGCTTTTTAAGCTTTCAAATCTTAATTCAAATCTCGCACTAACCCTGGGTTATCTTAACCCAGCTTTGAACAACTCGGCCCTGCACAATGGAATCCTATGAACTCCATCTCATCCTCCAACCTTTCAGGCTAATGGAAATGAGGTCGTATGCACTTAACTGCACAGGAATCAAGGACGGTAATGTAACTCCTGTGTCCCTGCCAAGGGAGCCCCAGTATCACCTTACCAATTGCGTGTAGGCAATGTGCCTGCTTTTTTTATGATCTGATTCTTCATATGCCGAGGCACCATGCTGCTGCTTGTATTGCCATGCAGCTCGTAACACCCAGTAATTCAGACAAACTGCCTGGAATCCTGGGTGTTCCACTATGCTCCTCCATATTTTTAACTTCAACTGCCTCCAAATATTTACGTTTTACAACAGCCACCTCTTGGAAGCAGATATTTCCGCCCCATCCAATAGTTGTTATTTTCTTTAGTCATAAATATTGAACGTCGGCAGGGTTGTCACCAAGGGTCGGGGGCCGGGGGCCGGGGGCCGGGGATTTCCCCCGGCTACTCAGAGCATGGGCCCCGGCTACTTTCGTCGTTAAATTAAACCAAAAGAGCACACCTTTCAAACACACTAAGACTATCTATCAAACTAAATACAAGTTTCATCTGCAGCAGGTTTAAGTAATTTTCAAATACTCGCGTGCAAAAACTAAGAAATGTCGGAAAAAGACATCTGACTTAGATTTGGCACTAGTACACCCGCGCGAAAACTTTCCGTTGGAGAAATGTCAGTAGGGAGTTTTAGCAACGATGACGGCGACGGCAACGAGAACGTCAAAGAGCAATAGGTTTATCGAGCAAAACAATTAGTTTGCACGCACGCTTTTTTGTACATTTCTTTGCCGTTACTGCACGACTACGACGTAAAAATGCCTAGTTTCACGTTTAATGGAGGACGTAAACAAGCGACGACAAACCTTTCTTTCTCTTTCTAGACTTGAGTGCGGTCCCAAAGAAATCAGCTCCAGGGAAATTGGCCTACGTTAGCTATTTTCAGCGAACTGAAATAAACGCGACAAAGTTGGAAAAAACACCAATTCATTTTAAAAGTGACGTTTTCGCTGCCGTCACCTTTGTCGATGCTAAAAGTCCCTAGTTCCAGCCGTTGTGTCGGTTTTGTGTCGAACATGTCGAAGAAGTGGCAAAGGAATCTGCAGTCTTTGTTAACGATGAAAGACCTGAGCAGATCTCTGTTGACATTACAGAAGAAGTTGTGGCTTCATCCGACAGTTAAATCTCCCTGATGCTGATGTTGATGATAATGAGGATTATGATGAAGGCTTTGAAGATGAAGACTATGACCGATTGCTATGTTTAACAAGTTGACGTTTAAGTGACCAGGTCTACCTTTAGCTTTAGGTATCGGGTCAACGGGAAATGTTCGATCATTGTCCGCAGGTCATGATCACATCATCTCAGTTCTACTTCCAAGAAGTTATATATAAAAGGGAAGTTAAGCATTAGCATTACTTTCGCATTCTTCTCCTTGAGTCTCGTTTTGACATCTCAGCGTCGTTTATAAAGTATTAGCCTTGTCTTTTAAACGCTTTTCCATAGGTCAATTTCTACGTATGTTAAGAGATGTTTCGTTCCTAAATCGAGACCACTAATGTTATCAGTAGTGCAGTTTAGTTTTGCCATATTTTATCCCGCGATTTTTCGTACGTTACACTTGTTTTAGCCTCATCATACTTTTATTTTTCAACAAACCATAGTAACCTTGTGTTTACGATGCTTTTTCGTACATTCATCGTCCGCTTGTCGTCTTTCCGCTTCTCCGTGGGTTAATTCATTTGTAATATTAGTTTTACTTTAGCTTTCCGTAAGTTGTTTCGTTCTTACGTATAACTAAATGAGGATTTACAATTGATTTTACCGCGCATTTTAATTCATTTGCACCATGTAAGAATCGATTGTCCCTTCCACAATAATGTTTTAACATTTGTTAAGTATCGTTGTGAATTAAAACTTCACTGGCCAGCATGCGCCTTGTCTGCGTGAAGATAAGACTGCGCAAATAACGTGACCGGTGCCAACCTGTCATTTTTTCAGATCCGGTAGTAGTATAAGGGGGTATTTGGGCGAACAAAAGTGAGGGGACATCGGGGACATCGGGGATACTGGAAAAAACCAGTATCACCAGCAAGTCAGTCAAGTCAATCTGGTCTTTGTTCTGTAACCATTTTTGCAGTTAATTCTATCGAGTGAATTTCCAAAACCTAACTAAGTGTCCTAGCCCTAACTAAATATCCTAAACCTAACTAAATGTCCTAGCCCTAACTAAATTTCCTAAACCTAACTAAAATCTGTTGGGCGCAGTGTTTAGACCTAAATCAGTTGGGTGCAGTGTTTAGAGCTAAATCAGCTGGATGCAATGTTTAGGATTAAAACTTTCCCTTACTCTAAAATCTTACCCTAACACAAACTCACAGTTGAGTGATTACAGGCAAGTTTGAACAAGCCCATTGACGTCACCTTTTGTTTTGTTGAGTCAGCAGAAATTGATACTATTTTTAGAACAGAGGGCTAGCGGGGGATATAAAAGCGGGACAGCAACACATACAGATCATTTGATTACAATTCGTTGAACTGTGCAAACCTCTCATCATGGCAATTACTTACCCACGTCCTTGTCCTATCTGTGGAACCAAAATTAAGAATCGAGGAAATTTCTTCCGTCACAAAAAGTATTGCGGTACTAATACAAGAGCACCATGCCTACATTGTGAAAAAACGTTTTGTCGTAAAGACAAAATGGTGGCTCACGTCAAGAAGTGTCACTCCGAAGCAGCGAAGCGGAAGGCGGAAGAAAGTGCTGAACTCTTACGTCTAGAGTTATTGAATTCTGGAAAGATACCGCGATTAGATGTTGAAGAACAGACCGGCGGAGCAGTGAGCACCCGCGGAACCAAGCGTTCAGCTGAAGATTCCAATCCTGATGTGAAGATGGCAAAGAGGGAACCCGAGAGCAGTGAAACCAAGACTGATGGCGGTACAGGTCCGTTGTTTCAAGCCAACATTGCCAAGATGGGGACTCCTAAAAAATGGAAAAAGGGCAAAGTCATTGATCAAAAATTTACGTTTACGTTGGACTATGTACGGGACCCAAAACCAGAGGAAGATTTAGGGGTAGAAGCAGTTTATGCGTTGACCGAAGGCATGGATACTATGGTGGAAGACATGGAGATTGACCTAAAGAACTATGACCTGGCACTTCAAATTGGAAGCAAGGAACATTTCAAAGAGTCCAGCAATACCGGTGAAACATGGCATATCCCTGCCGACGATTACTTTCACCGTTTGCAAATGACGCAATCGATGTTAGACCATATTGCGAGGGTCTTGAATTCGGGGGAATTTATTTCGTCCGACAGAGGCTTTTCAGCCTCCATGACTCTTTTACGTCGTGATGTGAAAGGCGGAAAACGAGCAGGCTACAAGCCAGGAGCCAAAATCTGGGAAGAAGTGGTCAAAGAATTGCGCTGTGTCCATGAAATCAAAAACAAGGATAAATTGTGCTGTGGCCGTGCGATTGTAGTTATGAGGGAGTATGCCAAGAAAAAGCAGGTGAAAAGAACTGTTACGAAAATATTCGCCAAGATCGAGGCAAGAACAGCCAGCAACTGAAAGAAGCCAAACAGCTATACACAGCGGCAGGCGTGCCCGAAGGATCATGTGGGTACGAAGAAATTCAAAAATTTCAAGACTATTTGGGTCCTATGGGTTACCAGCTGATTGTCGTTGACCCAGTACGTGGTGGTGTCATATTTACTGGAGAACAATACAAGTTTGCGCCTAAAGTGATCCAGATTGTGAAAACCTATTATGAGGACAGTGATGGAAAAACAAAACCCATTACGATGGATTGTACAGTGTGGCAGCTGTGATGAACCGTTGCAAGTTTTGTCGTTATTGTTGCAAGGGTTACAATACAGAAGATGCCAAACACCATAATTGTTTGCATGCCAATTGCCCTAGCTGTATGCGGCGAAGAAATGAAAAATCAGAGGGATGTCCTGACTACACAGGATGGAGTAAACCAACCATTACTTGTCGTACGTGTTGCAGATCGTTTTATGGGGAAGATTGCTACCGGGACCATTTGGTTCAAAAGAAACAAGAAGAAAGCAAGATGGAAAAAGACTTAATAAAAGAAGTAGCGTTGGATAATGATCTGACGATTCCACCCCAGAAACCAATGAAAAGTGTGTGTGAGATGCATCGCAAATGTCATACCTGTATGGTCTCCTACAAAGTCAAACAAGGAATGTCTCATAAATGTGGACACGGTCAATGTGCCAATTGTTTGAACTATGTGGATCTGTATAACCACCAATGTTTTATTATGAGTGACATTTACAAGGCAAATAAACGTTATGACAACAAACAAAAAGCAGAAGAAAGAATTCGAGAGGCTATCAAAGAAATGACCACGGAAGAAGGGAAAAAAGTGAAAGAGGCTGCAAAAAACCCCATCACGATTAAAGAACGGTTAGATGCCATGGCAAGAAAAAAAACCACCAACCCAAGACGAACAAATAGCATACGAACAAAGTAGACAAGAAACCATCGAAGCAGTGAAGAAACAATTACAAGATTTGGGGGTGGATGTGACTGAGATTCCCGAGGATCATTTACAAGAGTTCCAATGGGAACATTTTTCCTTAACAGAAGGGCAGAAAGACAAACACAAAGAGCTCGTATTTGCAGACATTGAATGTTGTATTGATGACCAAAGGCAGTTTACACCAAACCTCATTTGTTTTGAACGAGAAACCTCAGACGAAAAATACCAGTGTTGGGGTAGAACATGTCTACGTGACTTTTATAACAGACTCATGGCAATGCTAAAAGAACTAGAAAAAGAAAACAATTTGCGATGGAATCAACTAGAAATGCAAGTATACTTTCACAATTTTAGAGGATTTGATGGCGTGTTTATCATCAAGCAGCTGTATGACATGAACCTGAAAGTGTCTAAAGTGCTGATGACGGGTCAGAAGATCTTGTACTTTGAATGTGACAGACTAAAGTTCAAGGACTCTATGTCCTTTTTGAATATGCCTTTGGAGAATTTTACCTAGACGTTTGGTTTGACTGAGCTGAAGAAGGGCTACTTTCCTCATTCATTTAACAGAAAAGAAAACCAGAACTACGAAGGACCATTGCCTGACCTGAAGTATTATGAGACTAATTGCATGAACACTAAGAAAAAAGAAGCTGTAGAAAAATGGCATGGCGAAGAAGTATTGAAAGGAGAAAGCTGGAACTTTAAAAAAGAACTGTTGGAGTACTGTGAAAGCGATGTCAAGTTACTGAAGGAAGGCGGTCTAACTTTTGCTGCCGATTTTGAAAAGGAGTGCAAGTTTAATCCGTTGAAAGAAAATATCACCATTGCCAGTGCCTGTCACATCTTTTTTGGAATAACCAAATGATTCCCTACTCCATTGCTGTGGAACCACCCCATGGATGGAGTGGGGTGAAACCTGCTCAAAGCAAGATTGGATTTCAGTGGCTGCACATCCAAGACCAAAAGCTGGGTGGCAATAGAATCAAGCATGCAGCGAATGGGGGGGAACAAACTCTCATGATAGAGTCGTGGGGGAAAGTACGTGTAGATGGCTATGATCCCATCAAGAAAACAGTCTTCGAGTTTCAGGGCTGCGAGTTTCATGGCTGCCCTAAATGTAAGCCAAACAATCGACATGTCAAAACTTGGCACCACCCAGACCGCACTGTCGAGGAAATGTATGAATTGACTCAAAAGAAAACAGAGGTGTTAAGGAAAGCTGGTTACACAGTCAAAGTGGAATGGGAATATAACTTCAAACGAAAACTGGTCAATGATCCTACGTTACAAGACATGATCAAAGATTTGGAATGGACGGCGCCTTTAAGCCCCAAAGAAGCCTTGTTTGGAGGCCGTACTAGTGCAGCGACCCTGTACTCCAAAACAACCGAAGATGAAGAGATCAGCTATGTGGATTACACGTCATTGTACCCATGGGTCAACAAATATGGGACTTATCCATTGGGTCACCCCACCATCCTGAAAAACCCCGAAGAGCAAAACATTGACAGGTACTTTGGTGTGGCAAAAGTGGATATCCTGGCTCCTGAAGGTTTGTTTCATCCCGTATTGCCTATGAAAATTGATGACAAATGTATGTTTACTTTGTGTGCTACCTGTGCCCAAGAACAATTGGAACAACCATGGCATGAAAGAACCAACCTTTGTAACCATATAGACAAGGAACGACTAATGACCGGTGTTTGGTGTACCGAGGAACTCAAAATGGCTGTCCAAAAAGGCTACAGAATTCTGAAGATTCATGAGGTGTGGCATTGGAGTGAGAAAGAAAGAAAGACAGGATTGTTTGCTCCCTACGTCAACAAATTTCTGAAGGCAAAGCAAGAAAGTGCAGGCTGGCCAAGTGATTGTGTAACGGACCAGCAAAAGGAAGCGTACATTGCTGAGTATGAAGTACATGAAGGGATTAAGTTGGATTCAGACAAGATTGAGGTCAATCCAGGTCGAAAAGCAGTGGCGAAGGTTAATGCTGAACAGTTTCTGGGGCAAATTTGGCGAGGGTGACAATAAACCCACCACCAGCACATTGCAAAAAGTAGAAGATTGGGAAAAGTTGATCAACGATGATTCCATCATTGTCAAAAGCGTCAATGTGTATAGTGAAGACGTCTTGGAAGTCACTACAGTCAAAAAAGAAGGCGCATGGGCTCCTAATACAAGGGGTAATATTTTTATTGCCTTGTTTACCACAGCCATAGCTAGACTCAAGTTGTATGAAGCCTTGGATGTATTGCAAAAAAGAGTCCTGTATTACGATACAGACTCAGTCATCTATAAGAGCAAACACGGTCGAGACAGATTACCACTGGGCAAATTTTTAGGTCAGTTTACAGATGAGAGAGGGGGAGATACCATAGAAGAGTTCGGATCAGCAGGACCGAAGTCCTACAGTTATAAGACCAATGGAGGCAAGACCGAATGCAAAAGCAAGGGGTTAAAAAGCACACATGCTGTGAGACAAGTGTTGAATTGTGGGTCCATGTTGAATCACATTCAGTTCGAACTGAAAGACCTTGAAGAAAGCAAACGACAGCTAAAAACGACGGTTTTTAATCATTTTGTCAGGAATAGTAAAGTCAAAAGTATTCATTTAGAGGATATGATCAAAATATTCCAAGTGAATTGGGATAAGCGTGTGGTAGAAAAAGGAACAGGGGTGACGTATCCTTATGGCTATGTTAGATTGTAATTTTTGCATGAGTTAAGTTTTTATTTTGTTGAAAATAGAACACAGTAGCTTGGAAGCGCGAGCTCTAGTTAATTTTTGGAAAAGTTTAGTTTTTCACTAGTTCGTTGTAACATACAGGTAAGGTTTGCATGGTGGCATCAACCAATAAAGTATGTGTTGTTACAAACTACAGGTGTGGTTACTTGTGTGTGTGTGTGTGTGTGTAAAAATTCACAAAACCCTAAACCAAAGAGAAAATTACACCAACCCTAAACTAAAAGAGAAAATTTCCCTAACCCTAACCCTAACTCTAACCCTAACCCTAACCCTAATCCCAAAGGACTTAGGGTTTAACCCTAACCTTATTAGCATTTTAACCCTAACCCTAACCCTAACCCTAACCCTAATCCCAAGAGGCTAGGATTTAACCCTAACCTTATTAGCATTTTAACCCTAACTAGGAGAAGGACTGATATGAGTGTAGATAAATTGTGATGACTCACTTTATTCCAACCATAAAACAAGTGTGAATGTGAGTGTGTATATGTGTGGAGGAAAAATGCAGTCGGTGTCTATGCAAGATTTGGAGCAAATAGCCTATTGGCAAGAAAAACGTTTTAAAAGTGGACATTGGTATAATCTGTACAATCCAGTGATTTCAGTGGAGTTAACAGAATTCGCAGACAGAGTAGTGAGGAATAACGATGCTATGCAAGAAGAAATTCAGCTGGAACTCACAGTGCATCAACACAGAATACCAGAAAAGAACGAAAATTTGTTGATGTCAATGAGCGATGGTTTATTACGTGCAGTACAACATTGGGTAAGAAACCGACATTTATCCATGAAAGCAAGATGTTATTTGACCCTTCATACAGTGGAACCGATTGCTCTCCCCATCACAAAATGTTTAGGAGTGCTGACAAATATTCCCGTCTTTGCTTTTTTTCCTTGGACGGTGTCATTATCGCGTTCCATGTTAGCCATGTTTGATTGGTTGAGTTATAATTGGTTATTGGCTAACCTGCTTTCACCAGCTAATAACATAAAATTGGTGATTACAGTCATTTACGAAAAAACATGCCTAAACATATAAGATCCCAAGGGACTTTCACGCTCAGACTTGCCCGTTGACGTCATTGCCCCAGGGAACAATGATTGAGTATATCAGGGTGTTGGAATTTGGGTCAAACATAACAGATTTGCAACATGCCAAAAGTAACGTATCCAAGACCATGTCTTACATGTGGAAAAGAATTGAGCAAAGGCCAATTCTTTCATCATAAGAAGCAATGCGGTACAACAGAGAATCGTTATCAATGTCCATACTGCCCTATCTCATTTTCATGGAAGCATCATATGCAATGGCATATACAACAGCAACATTCGAAGACTCCGCAAGGGTTTACCTGTCCAAAATGTCATCAAGTATTCACAGGAAAACAGGGGATGAAAATTCATTTGGAAACTGTGTGTAGTGAGGTAAAATCCTGATACAAATGTTGGCACTGCAACGCATCATTTACAAGACAAAACAACAGGCAAAAGCACATGCGAAAAGTCCATGGACGTGTTTGCAGGGAACACGACATCAATTTGTTTTTCCATCTACAACATTTAAGCGAAGAAGAGAATTTCCAAGGCGAATGGATGTTTGTGGAATCACGCCCGATTGAAGAGAACGAACACAAGATTTGCCCCCTGTGGTCAAACAGACATACAAGCTTACTTTTTCTGGAGAACAAGATCAATGGAAACCGTACTTTTGGGGTTCTACCTGTATTGAAAACATTGATCCTCGTGTGGGTAAAGTGATTGCTTATTTTGAGTATATTCTAACACACCCCATACAAGGCACATATCAAGGACAAGACAGTGGTGGCCTACAAAGGTTTACAGTCAAGTCAAACACTGTCCTCGTTAGAGGCGCAGAGGTCGTGAAACATTTAAACCCGCAAGTCACCAAAACCATGGAAGGGACATGGGAAGTCTTAGTCAATCACCCCAGGTCAGAGACTCTGATTGAAGGACAAACGTATGACCTACGGTTGAAAGCTAAATATGTAAGAGGACAGTTAACGTTTACTGCATTGTAAATTTTTTCACTATACGTGTAACTAGTTTTAGGAGGTCAATAAAAAATCACACAAAGTTTACAGTTGAATCAGGTGTATTTTATTTTTACTGGGTGCTGTTTAATTGTTGATAGAGCTGGGCATATTTAGACTGCAAATCAGTGAGTTCCTGCCTAAGCTGTGCTACAGACATTTTCTGGGGTTTTTTAGAGGTCTTGAGTAACTGGGCGCGTTCACTGAGCCTCTGTTCTTTAAGGATTTGATACTCTGCCTGTTCCTGGGTGAGTTTTTTCTCTTCATCTAGAATCATTTGATCTAAAATGACACAATGGACTTGTTCACAGGCTGCATTCACCACGGCTTGTGATTCGGGTGAATCCATTTTGGGGTAAGGCCTTAACGATTTGAATCGTTTAGGAAAGGTGCCCTTTTTGAGATGGTGTCTGAATCCCTTGATGGCTTTTTTCACGATACTTAATACGTGCCTGGATTGCTTGCAGTTTTTTTGACGGTAACTTTTAGGGTAGATTTCTTACTTTTCACGGTCGGTTCCATATTTTTCTCAGGGGTTCAGACACAGTGGTGTTTTCTTGGATAGGTTCAGAGACAGAGTCTTCGAGTGTAGACATGTTTCCCATACAAGAGGTGAGATAAAATGAGACCTTAACGTGAGACCAATGTCAATTTATAGCCTGACCCGTGTAACTTAACTAAAAATGTTATATCAGTCAGACGCGATGTTGAGAGTTTTTCTTAGAATTCAATCTACAAAGTTTATGTGGACGATTTTATGGTTGAGTGATTACAGGCATGTTTAGGCAAGCCCATTGACGTCATGCACCTTAATTAGATTAGAATAAAGTACAGTTAGAGTGACAATAGCATTCATTTCACACACGTTACCGTGACGTTAGGAACGTATGATACATAGGGACGAGCGGAATAAAGATTTAGAAGACATGTCGCCAAAATGTGAGCAACTAGAAAGCGAACTGTGCCCTGAAAACCAAGAGAATTTACATTGGATGGAATTAGCCTTGAGGATCCCTTGTTTCAGGTTAGTTCTACTCAAGTATTTGGAACGAGTCTGTACGTGTTTGACATAACCCAAAAGCCTCCAACAAAAGAGGGTGTGAGAAATTTGGACTTTGAAATCGTCTATCCGATATACCATGAATTGAATGAGATTATTGAGCAAACAAAACCGGCCAAGACAACTCAGATAAAAATCAAGACGTCCTCGAGAGAGCATTGGGAGGCTGTCTATACGTGCGAATTCTGCGGCGATCAGTGGTCTTATAGCAAGGTAGATGAAATCACGGACAGGTTAGCGGATCAGCTTACTATGAAACAAAACTTGAATGGAGGCTTACTTATACAAGTGTCTTTCAAAGAGTAGATCAAAGTCTGCAACTAAAATTTTAAGTGCGAAAAAAGTCTGCAACTAATAATTTATATGTCGAAAACACTGCAACTAACAGATGTGACGGGACAGTTAAAAGTTTTAAAAAAATTTCCATCTACGTTTCATCTGGGTTTCATCCGCGATGAATCCGCGTTTCATCTGGATTTCATCGTTTTATCTGCGTTTCATCTGCGTTTCATCGTAAAACAGAAAAGTATAAATTTACGACTTTCGCGAGAATATCATCAGTTCAAACACTTCACGGTGTCAATATGCCTTTTAAGCAGGGACGCACATGTCCTGTTTGTTTGAAAGAAAATCTTTTTATTTAAGAGATCATTTTAAGACAAGTGCATAACCTTTCGAGCGCAGAGAGACAACCGTTGTTAAAATCGGCCACTTATTCACCGACAGTCTCTATGAGGTTACCTAACATGCCTCCTTACCCCTTTGGGGCATGCCTCAGTACCCAATGAGTATGAATCCGCAGTTACCTACGGAAGTACCTCAAAGTATGAATTCAAACAGTCTAAACCAGCCAAAGTCCAAACAAGTCAGTGTTTAGAGACACAACCTTATCCAGAGTTTAAGTTTCACACGTTTTCCATGCTTGTAGTAGGACCGACGCAATGTGGGAAAACCTATTTTGTACAACAACTGCTAACCAAGAATTGTATCAGTACCCAGATGAGAAATCTACACAGATTTACTGGTTTTATAATCAATGGCAGCCAAGGTATGATGCATTGAAACGAGCGCTAAAAAAGAAAATCCAGTTCACCCAGGGTTACCAAACCTAAGCGAAGATCTCAATGAAATCAACCCTGAGTATAACAATATTTGGTGTTTGATGATTTGATGTCTCAAGCCATAGATAGTCCTGGTTATCACAGTTGTTTACACAAGGAAGACATCGCAATGCAAGTGTCATTTTACTCCTACAAAATATGTTTCCGAGGGAAAATACAACACGGATATAAGCAGGAATGCCCTATACAAGGTGTTGTTTTCGATCGCCCGGAGATCGTAAACAAATAGACATCTTAGCGGAACAAACATTTGCGAAGGATCGCCTAATTTTATGAAGGCATATACCAAAGAAACCGAAAAGCCTTTTGGCTATATTATTTTTTGACAACCACCCTCGAACCACCAGCGAGAAGCAAGTCGTAACCGATGTGTTTGGTAACTGTTATACTTACCCGAACATCACAGAAAGTACGCGCACAGTCCCAAAGGTCCCAGCAGTCACACACAGCATTGAAAGTCCGAAGCGACTGGTCAAACGTAAACCTGAGAACGAAAAGTCACCCGCTAAGAACGCGAAAAACAGTGACACAGTCGCGAAGAAACCAAGGAAAGTTAAAACACTGACGGGTAAAAAGACATCATCAGTGAAAGACCAAGAAAACAAGCATCTATAAACCGCAGTTTATAAGACAAAGCTCTGAGAAGACTCAACGAAACCGAAAAACCAAAGGGTTTATTGACTGAACTAAACGAACTCTCGCTTCATGAACTATTCCAGCAAGAGCAACCAC